ATATTCTGACCATTCAGCGGGTGGCTTGTTTCAGGTCTTTCGTAACCTGTTGTTATATTACACAGACAGGTCCGCCAAATTGACCAATCAACAGCTTTGTCCACATTTCTGATCGCAACGACGTCACAATTTTTAAAGTCAACTCCGATTGGCAGGCAAAATTTTGCATTGCTCGGATACTGGTACCTGTATCAAACGTTGGATGCGGAAAGGGCTCTGTTGAATAACGGGTGATATTAAAGACTATCCTCATATCCTGCAAAACCCTCCAAATGTTACCAAAGTACATTGTAACGTAAACATCAGATACAGCCCTAATACTCCAAAATCATCTGTTATTACTTGAATTTATTCAGTGGAGGGGTGACCACTGCCTCAATCCTTCAAAATCCTCTGACTCAGTTTATAAAGCAGAGCAGATAATATCCAGGAGCAGTGCAGATCAATATCTAGAAGCAGCGCAGATGATGTCCAGTATAATGTACCGGTTAATGTACTGTACGTGTAGGCCTCAATTAAGCACGGCAGAGCATACATGTATTTGTATACCGGTAGGTAAAGCTACATTTGTAAAGACCATAACGCATCCTCCAAAATCAATCGCCACTAAAAAGACACACTGCCTCAATCCTCCAAAATCTTCCACAAGTTCTGCACTGCCATTAACATGGTTCTTTGCAACGGTGGGCACAAACCAACAAAACCCACATGACTTCACTCATTTCCATTTTTTTTAACCTACTAACAGACACTGACCTTTGATTTGAATCAGCAGAATCCAAACTAATTAGACGACCCATTTGTACGGTATGTACCGGTACCGTTATGCCTACATGTACAGGTACACGTAGAATGAAATGCAAGAGCCTTGTCACCTAATCCTATTCTCGTCTTAATGTAGTTCAGCAGACTAAGCGATTCACTGCAGATCCCCTTTAATCCAATTACGGATGTGAAGGTGCTCTTTACACACCACAAATGCCTGCTCCTCCACATACCGCCATGTCCAATCAATCATTATGACGCACGTGTTTAAGAAAGCAAACTCTCCCCTGATAAACTTTGTTAGAAATTGATGAGGGGTTGACGTAAGAAAGGTTGATATTCTTCTTTGCAACCTTTCCACTAGCATGGCTTAGGAAAATGTCAGGGATCCACATTGATGTTACACTTTTGTTTCTTGAAGACGTTTTCCACATGAAATAATACTGTTTTTTTTATTTTTGACACCTATACATGTAGGTGATAAGGCCTAGTCTTTTAAATGAATAAAGCAGTTCAATAAAAAAAAAAATTATTTTTTTGAAGTGGAACAAAGAAATTGACCAGAGTGGTGTTTGAACCTGTGACCTCCAGACTGCCATTCTGGTGCTCTACCAACTGAGCTATATCAAGCCCTATGTTGGCGGTTCCCCATTTTATCATTGTCTTTGTTCAAGGGGCGCTAGTCAGAAGTCAGAAACTCATATGCCATGTAGTCAGGGATCATGCCCAAAGTCACGACGCCAGAGTTGTAATGACTCGAGTCAATGACTCGACTCGAGTCCGACTCGAGTCACATTTTTTGGCGACTCGACTCGACTCGAGTCCCGACGGGTAAATGACTCGACTCGACTCGAGTCACTGCGAGCAAATGACTCGACTCGACTCGAGTCCCTCATCAGAATGACTCGACTCGACTCGAGGAAGGCTAATAAGACTCGAGTCCCAAAATAAAAGCAAAACTTACTTGCAAAAAATATTTGCAATGACTTACGCTGCGCCGTTCCCGTTGCCAGTTTTTGTTCACGTCACGTTAATGTTCGCGAATAATGTACGTTTATATACAGCGGCAGTCTGTTTCCTTCCTCCATAATGAAACAACAAACATACACCGTGTCGCGGACTCCCACCTTGTGGTTCTATAGCATGTAATGCTAAACCCGGAACCAGACTTAAAACGCATTTCTCAATCCGTGGTTTCATCATTGGTTCGGGCGATTTTGAAGTTCTTGGTGGAACGCTGGCTAAATTCATGTCCCGATTTCACACACAAAAATGGATACGGACGGGCCCACCTTTAAATAATCAGAAACAGTTTTGTATAATGCAATTAGGTTTTAACATTGTCAGCGATCAGCGAACAACAAAATCTAGACCCGAAGCCAAACCAGTTATAAGACCGAAGTTTCACATCTTCTTATCTGTGACGTGAGCTAGCAATGGAAACTGTTGGTTGGGTACCATACAGCATACTTTATGTCTTTGGATTTCCGTAATAGACTGGTGCCTTGTATTCTTTCTCTCTTGTGTTTGTTGCTTTTTATTGTAATTAAGTGTTCAAATATTTGTGACTCGAATTGACTCGAGCTAAATACTTGACTCGACTCGACTCGACTCGACCACACTCTGTGACTCGACTCGACTCGACTCGACCTTGTTGACCTAATGACTCGACTCGACTCGAGTCACTTCTTTAAAATGACTCGACTCGACTCGAGTCACAAAAATCAGTGACTCGTTACAACTCTGCACGACGCTAGCAACATTAGCTACATGTATGCTGTAAACCTAGGAAATAACAAACAGGGATCACTCAGAGAGGATATGGCTTTTTAAGAGAGGGAAACAATATGTGATAAAAGAAGTAAATATATGCAAGGGACAATTTGAAAAAAAAAACTGCACTTTTGGCTGTTCATGGCACAATAGGATTTGTAAGTCTTGTTGCAAAGAAACATTGCTGTACCGTACTCCCCCCAGTCCCGGGAATTGTTGAAAAATTATATCACAATTTCAAAGCAATAAAGCTGTGACAGCATGGGCATTAAAAATATTAATAATTCACCACACTTCGTGTAAAAATTCTACTTTAATTACATCTTTTTTAACATTGCCATAAAAAGTCAATAAGAGGACGACACTCAAGATTGGCAGTTTTCCTGGCTGCCTCTCCACTGGCAAAGAATGGAAAAATGTGAAAAGGTCCGAGTTAACCCTTTCAATGTTCCACCATGATTCCAGCACAGTTCAGACCTCTCGTTTTTTTTCTCCTCTTGTACTTTTACCTCTTGGTTCTTGAGACAGTTATCAAGTTTGCCCTTTGGAGCCAAACGCATCCGTCCCAGCAGCCATCCACACCACACCGATTGATTAACGGCGAGTGACACATAGTCAATTAGGGACAAGTGCGGCGGACGCCCACCGCACGGCTCTCGACCGTCCCGACACCGAAAAGCCACGTTAGGTATCAAGCAGCCGCGGCGTCTCTTGGCTGAAAATTTATCGCGGACGCAGCTCAGATGTTAACACCGATACCGAGGGAAAGACTTGCATTAATTGGATTAGGTAGAGTTTTTGTATTTGTTTCAGGTTTTTCCTCTCCCTTGTTTCTTTGTAATTGAAAAGGGGGAGCTGAACGGCTTTAGTTTGCTGAAAGCTTAAAGGATGCCATTTATCACTCTTTGTTGTCATAGATACATAAACACTTGGATCACGTCTGTGAATAAAACGTTGCTCTCCTGGAGACATCATTCTATGACAATTTTAAGTTTACACAGATATTTGGGGTTTCTTTTGCTTCCTAGACAACATGTAAATTTATGGGTTCATCATCTACTACACTGTACATGTATATTTCTATATTTTCAATATTCTATTGACTATACTTCTTTAGTATCATTGCATTACAATATTTGGTTTGGTTTAATGCAAAGATCAATCAATTAATCACATTAATATGATTGTCCTGCAGCACATATCATTTATACAATGTAGGTTGATGCTTTGAAATAAAAACAAAGTTGCCGTCTGAGGTGAAAATCCTCCCTTTATTGGTATCATGTTGAACAAACATTTGTAGACATGTTATTTGCAAAGGGTCTGCATGCCCATGCATTTGCATATGTTTGGTACTGTGTGCAAACTGAAAAAAGCATCTTTGATGGATTTTGGCAGTGAAGTTAAAAAGCAGCCTCTTCCAGGCAAACGCCTTGTGGCAGCCTTTATTTTGAATCCCTGATTTACATGTATGCATTAGATGCTAGATTTGGGCTGTCCCAAATATTTGAATATTCGAATATCAACCAAATATTCAAATAGCTTTTTGTCCGTTTGAAAATGTATTCAAAAAGAGAAAACTACGCACCAATTGACTGTGCTGTTATCTTAATCGTAAAGTTGCGGTTTTTTTGTCAGATGATACTTTTTGTCGACGGTAACTTTCTTGTTGACACCTACATGTATCTATTAGTCCCATTCTGTTAGCTTGGTCAAGTCCCTAGACAGTTACCAGTTAAAACACTCCCACGTACGCATGCCGCACGCAACTTTTAAACGGAGCGCTTTGTATGCAACGTTTGACCGATGAGGAAGGCAGCTGCAGTTGGCGTGTGTTAAACTTGATCAGCAAGTTTCGAATATTCCAATATTCGGTCAAGTGCAGTTTTGAAAAATTGAATTATTCGAAAATGAGCAGCCCTATTCTAGAGGTCATGTTGATCAAAATCTACTCGGTGCCCCTCGTGGTTAATTTGAAAAAAATTATTAAATTCCAGTTTTACAGCATTACTTATGTTGCTAGCATCATGACTTTGGGTGTGATCGCTAGCTATATACATTGTATACATGGTTTATGGCTTCTGACTAGCGCCCCTTGAACAAAGCATTGACAAAATGGGGATCCGCCAACACAGGACTGGATAGCTCAGTTGGTAGAGCACCGGAACGAAAATCCCGAGGGGGCAGGTTCAAACCCCTCTCAACTCAATTTCTTTGTTCAACAATAAAAGAGGTTTATAATCCACCTAGTCAGTTTCCCTTGAGGTTCATTTGAAAATTTGAAACAAAATTGTTGCAATTTCATTCTCAATACGCACAAGCAGACCACATTCAAATTTAAACAATTAAACAATAAGTCTTTTTGTAAAATGAGGAAAACGTACCCACGTTACTCTTCACAATTTCACACAAAATTTACACACATATTTTGAAACAAATGTAAATGTACATGTAGATCTTACCTTCGAGGGACTCCTGAAGGCCGACATCAAAAGCTAGCTTGTCAGAAGACGAGACGGTCGATAAACATGCAAGGTACTGCAAAGAGAAAGACAGAACATGAAGTCTAAAAACAGCTGCTAGCAGGTTTTCCAATCCTAGACGACTTATTACAATGGCTTCTTATAATGGCCACCACATCTGCAGACCCTTAATTACTTTTTTCTCAGTCTACAATTACCTCAGTTCACGGCACTGAACAGATTTTTAAATTATGAGCTAATCAAAACACGTAGGCTATTCTATTGAAATCTATGTGAAGACATGTCTTAAAATTTTCAGGTGATTTGTGGTGAGCTTCAAGTAAGTTTATACACTTCTTTAAATTTACATTATATAGTGTATTGTATCTGCAACAGTACTGGTACGGTGATAGCTACATGTACCTGTAAAATGAAAAGGTATAGCCAAAAGGGTCATTTTCATCTTTTAAAAGAGAAGTAACGGTACTAGTAAAATATCTGCTAACTCGTAATTATCTGCATATTGTAATTTCAAATGCGATGATTGGATATAAATCTAATCAGAAATTGAAATATGGTGAAATCTTATTTTACATGGAAGCAGCCATGCACAACGCAAATTGGCATGATTAATGTGCCATTCTGGCCTGAAAAAAATGGGGCTTTTACTATTTTGGAAAAGACAACAGTGGCAACCATTTTCTGAAAATTCACCTCCATTTTCAGAATATTGGGGAGAAACTCAAAGAAATTTCAGAAATGGAATTGCAAGAAAAATGAAAAAAATGGCTGAGTTTACTTTTTTTTTAATTGACCTGAGTGAGCCCAAAACCTCCAATTGTCCAAATACAATTTCTCGTAAATTTCCTGTCTGTTTTTTGTGATACTTTTTTTAAAATAAGACTTAAGACAAAGCAAGGAAAGGGAACATTACAGGGATCAATTCATAATGGGAACTCCAGGATAAATTAAGGTGCCAATCCAGAATGGCTGGGTTTAAATTTGGTCTTTCATTTTTCTTTACAAATAGAGGGTATAAATGTACACATTGTACATCAGCAGGTCCGGTACTTGTAGCAGCCTACAAGTCCTGATCTGTAAGGCCAAAAAAAATAATAGTTCTGCTTCCGGTTACCCTACCTTCCCCCTTATGACAGCACCTGCCCAATTTTTTTTTTTGGGGGGGGGGAATGGGGGGGGGGGGAGCACAAAATCAATTACTACCTTTTACCCTCAAGTGACTAAATTTACTTGACTTGCAATTTACTAAGTGTTTTTAATGAGCTGTCCAACCATATGAAATTGCCTTTTTTAAGGATAAATAAAGTATTCTGAATTGAATTGACTACGTGCATGCAGACACCTCTATACCCAGTATAAACGTACACAACAAAACTTGCCCCCCCCAAAAAAAAATTTCCCTACCTACATGTACCTACTCAATTTTCAAATGCCATACTCGAAAGCAGAACCATTTTTTTGTTTTGGCCTAAATAGCTTTCTCAACTCTCAACTCCCAGCCCCTTCATTATAACGCATCATCGGCCCCTCGATCCACTCCCACTAAATGGCAAATTACTTGAGTAGCAGAACAGGTATATAACACTTCCAATTTCAGGGAATATCCAGGGCCTTGCCTCGCCACCGCTGCCGTGTCAATAATAGATGCTCCACGGTAACCGACACTGGGGGGGGGGGGAATCTGGGCTGCCGTAGTGGCTCAGCAAACAGCCTTACATGTACAAGCAGCACGGTCTGATAAAAACAACGCTCCACGCATGACAGCAAGACAAACCTACATGTACGTGTACATGTATGTCTTAATTGAGACGTGCTGTCAGTATACCCAATGGTCTGTGCGCAGGCCATGAATTTTACACGTGCATTTTACACATACATGTACCTGTACATGTACACGATGTGCACGACATAAGCCAAAGCCAATTTGATAGTTATTCGTTCCCAAGCAACTTTTATCTTTATTTTATACTTGGAAGCAATAAAATTGAGACCTGTCATCACAAAATGAGCATAAAGTCAGGCTTTTTTAAGAGTTGAGATATTTATACCTGGATACTGCTGAACAGGAGTTTTCCAATGGTATACCATTTAGTCTCACTGAGTATTTTGTGCAAACCCGAACCGAAACCGATCCGACCCGAAAGTGACTTCGGTTCGGATTGGCTTCTTCCATCATTTCAGTCAGGTCGAGTTATTTTCAGTTTTGCATTTGCGATTTTCAGTGGGGTCCGGTCAGTTAAGCCATCTTGTGAGAAACCCAAAATAACCCCCCCCCCCCCCCAAAAAAGCGAAATACAGTAGTTCGAAAATTCACACGGTGCAATGTTACAGACCAACTGTGACCAGTACTGCGCACGTACATGTACATTTACCGGTACATGCTACCGCGTCAACCCATCGCGCGATTGTGCATGTGGTTTGCCGTCTATCGTGCATGTGGTTTCCATTCTATTACGCACAGTGTATAACGTGTAGGCCCACCGGTAGGTCACGTCAGGAGTGTTCACCATACCGTACAGTCTGATTCTATACTGAGAGACAGGGTTGGCGATTTTTTTTATTTTTTTTAAAAATCTGAAAAATCGGATTTATTTGATTTAAATCAGATTTTTTTGATTTTTTTTAACTTTCAAAATATTGATATGTCTAAATATGTGTCTAAATCTCCCCATGCACCCTCCCACCCGTCACTAAGGAGTTTACAGGTTCCAATAATACCCATCATCCCCAATCAAAACAACGATTTTGTGTAATTATGCAAAACCTAAATTGAGTCAATGGTGGTGAAGTAGGGGTGTTTCAATGTGTTAACAACATCTTACACTTTGTAATTAAGTGGAATCAGTTGATTTAAATGATTAAAATGACCCTCAATCAATTGATTTTGCCAAAAATAAGATTTTTACAAAAAAGTGATTTAAATCAGTGATTTTTATTAAAAAAATCATTTAATTTAAATCGCGATTTAAATCAGTGATTTAAATCAACGTGATTTAAATGTGATTTAAATCACGATTTAAATCAGTGATTTCAATCAACGTGATTTAAATCAGCCAACCCTTCTGAGAGACGACAATTTTAAAATAAAAATCACGCGACATGGGTAAGTTCAGGCACAAAAAGCAGAGGCAGTGTTTGTGAAACATAGGACGATTAACCCAAGCCAGATATTCGGGGTGTGGGTTTCGGGTCGGTTTGGTTCAGTTTGGGTCAGCTTTTCCTTGAATTTTGTTAGGTTGAGGTGGGTCGGGTTGGATTTGGGGAGTTCAGATCGGTTTTGGTTCGGATTCGGTTTTATCTCGGTTTTGTCTATAATGTTTTGGGTCAGTTTGGCCTGGTCAACTCGACCCGATGCAAAACATTACCACTGAGTTATTTAAGTCGAACAAAAATAATAGACCTAAAGGAGTTTGCACAGTATTCAACAGACACTTTGAACTTCTTACTTACGTAACTGAAGTTGTAAAACTCCTTTTTGATAAAATTCAAAAATTTGCTGTTGTGAATGAACAGTCAAGTAGGTAAAAGGGAATGAAATGGGTTTTATATAATAATAATAATAATAATAATAATAATAACGGAGTCTTATATAGCGCACGTATCTACAAACAATTAGGTACTCAAGGCGCTGGTTATTATGTATATTATTAAAGAAAGGTAAATAAAGTATATGAGAAATATGAGACCCATTATGTAGCACCTTATAAAGGTTGACAAGGTGCTGCGGCGCATATTGCAGCCACTGCCAGAAACACTGGGGATTGATACAACCAAAAAATAGGAGAAAGATAAATCAAGACATTTACAGATTACAGTTCACCTGAAAACCAAAAAAGTGGACCATGCACCCCTTCAAATGTTGGCTTTGCCCCACTGTATTGCAAAATGGCAATTTCCGACTTAAATAGATCAAATTTGAGTTTGATCTACATTGTAACTCTTCAGTCTTCGTTTTGTCGTAGACATGTTACAGACTATTGTGGACTAAATCAATAAATCCACCTACGACTGGATCCGGTTTTACTAGCCGACTTTACAGTCAATATTAACAGTGAGCTTGTGTCATTCCAGAAGAGAGGGTAATTAAATTAGCCAGTAGGTTAAACAAATATCACTTTTTTTTGTCTCATGATTAAAATCATCATTCCACCCGCTACTTGTCAATTGTCTGTCTTTATGTGCAGCCAGTGGCACTTTTCTGCAGTCGCTTGAAGAAACAACTACCGGTACTCACAAATTACAAATTTGGGTACAAGAATGTAAGGAATGTGTCTTCCTGCTTTTTTTGGGGGGGGGGGTGGGGGGAATATACTTTTACTTGGCCAAATGGTCTATAATTTGCTTAATTATGCGTTAAAAGGATTTGAGAACCTGGACGATAAAACAAAATTTCAAGACAGCAATAAACACTAGCTCAAGAGGTCACACTCTGAAACACTTCAAACCAAAACTAACTCCCTAGGCATTTTTGCTAGGATGCCAACTCAATCCTGCAAGATCCTCCAACTGTCTCCATGTAAAAAATTGCATACAGCCTCAATGCTGCAAAATCATCCGTTAATTCTTGAAATCCTCCAGCAATCACTGTCAATATGTTGAGGCAGAGCAAGTGACATCCTGGAGCAGTGCGGAGGATTTCAAGTATAATCTAGGCCTATGCACGGCTGAGCATAAACAACACAAGGTCTGGCCTAAGACTTTGACACAGTGCATCTTCCAAAATCAGCCACATATTTTGCCATCGCCTCAATCCTGCACAATCCCCCATTTTGCAAACAGGATTTTGGGATAATTCGGGAAAGTTAGGGTTAAACAAGAACATTGGCTGTAGGAAGAACTTTCCTCCAAACGATCAAGTTATTAATGTGTGGAATGCACCCCCTCAAGAAGCAAAGAATGCCAAACCTGTGACAACACTTAAGAAAGAGCTTGACTCACTTTGTAAAAGAACAAAGATAGGATATGGGGTCACAAAGGCTAAAGTGCCTCAAGCAAATTACCCATAAAGTGGACATCACTAAGTGGACATCACTATCTGCAGACCTTTAGATTGTGATTTTAGAATAATACCACAGTTTCCACAATTTTGCATGCAGAAATTTGTGTGGAGTGAACTTCAACAAATGGATAATGCTCAGATGAAAAAAACTTCAAACTGGCAATTTTTTTTTCAAATTTAACTCGAGGGTGTGTGCCTCCATTTTTTTTAAACATGTTATGGATTTGCAACTGCTCTGATGATAATAACATGTGATGATGATAACACATGAAAAACAAGCACGAGAAGTTTAACTTTCTGAATTTGCTGATAATTTACAAAAACAGTTGAAGTTACATACATGTGCATGTACTGGTACTATCTGAAATGGGGGGGGAAAAGATTTTTTTTTTTTTTTCACAAGTGGATTGATGTACATGTGATTCATGTACATGTAGTTGGAAATTGTACAGGCTTGACATTTCTAAATTTTCAATAAAAAAAAATTTAGTACAGAACCACACAAACAATTCCAAAGGCCACTTAACCCAGGGGAACTGCATAAAATAATGAAATCAATCAATTTCCGCCCACATTAGGTTTGCAAGCACATGTAAATGACAACATTTGTAAGTTTCACATAAATGGCAAAATGTGCAAAATCACAAGAGAGCTGTTGGCAATTTGGCAATCTGGTTTATAGAATTTTATTATCATAATGAGAATACTGCCCAGCAACTTACGTGTACCGGTACATATGTGGTTACAGGTTGAATAAATTTTGCAATCGAACATATGCTGGAAATGCACGTAGAATCAGGAAAATTAATGCTGGGTTTTTGCGAACAATTATAGCACAGGAAAATTCTTTAGGGCATTACATTTGCGCAATCACATCAATATCATATCAATCATGTGTATCACAGACTAACCTTCCCAAATCCTCCAAATCATCTTTGCAAAATGGAGGATTTTGCAGGATTGAGGCTATATGGCAAAATATGTGGCTGATTTTGGAGGATGCAATGTGTGAAGGTCTTAGGCCAGACCTTGTGTTGTTTATGCTCAGCCGTGCATAGGCCCAGATAATACTTGAAATCCTCCGCACTGCTCCAGGATGTCACTTGCTCTGCCTCAACAAATTGACAGTGATTGCTGGAGGATTTTGCAGGATTTAGGCAGTGGTCATCCCTCCAAGGACAACATTCAAGAAATAAAGGATGCAATGTGTGAAGGTCTTAGGCTGGACCTTGTGTTGTTTATGCTCAGCTGTGCTTAAATTTAGGCCTGCATGTACATGTACATGTAGATTATAATTCTTGAAAGCAGTGATTGCTGGAGGATTTTGCAGTATTGAGGCTGTATGCAATTTTTACATAGAGGCAGTTGGAGGAGTTTGCAGGATTGATCAGGTTGTATCCTAGCAAAAATGCCTAGGGAGTTAGGTTTAAAAATTGTATGGTACATGCACACTTGAACATTTGAAGGACCCATTCCAGATCAGACCCCCACCCCAACCCAATCCAATTCGGACCATACTTGCATAGTTGATACCTCAATCCAACAGTCCTTTCATGCAATACAAAATCTCTGTGCTCGACCCAAGTGGGGCCCTGAAAATTTGAAAACCCCTTTTTACACCAGCAAGGATCCACCACAGGTTCTATACGGGTTCAGCACTCTAAACAAGTAACATCAAACCCTGGTCAGGACCAGGATTGAAAAGCTGTAGAAAATCTAAAAAATCTATGTACAATGTACATGTATGAGCGTGAACAAATAAACTGTGCAAACAGGGATAAACTCGACGTAAACTTGAATGTTCTTACCATATTACTAAGGCTATGACGAAGTAGAATTGCGTGGCCATAGAGAAGGGTTCGATGCCCTGCTTGGATACCCTGAGAGAATATAATCACAACAAAATATACGGATAATCACAACATTTACATGTGTATACAATTTTTTTTTACGGACTTTTACAAAGTCTGTAATCCTAAATTCGTTAAAATAGTTGCTGAAAATCATGAAAGATGACAGTACGGTTTGGCGGCTACCCAACACATGACCCTGGTTCACACTGTAATTCCAGCCAAGGTGATTTGTACATGTAGATTGATTTTCTTTCCAGTCCCCAACCTGATGCGTGGGTTATCCCTCAGACTACATGTCTCCAGGGTTTTTCCTCCCACTTCCAAAACTGAAAATTTCTGCTCAATTCACAGAAAGGACCCAAGCGAGAACGGTGACAATAAGACGTCAGGATCGAGTACCCGGGGTAACATAAGAAATAAATCAAATAAAATTTTCAGCAATCTAGATTTTCTCCAACTAACAAGAACGAGAAATGGAATATTACCGCCTCCACGGTGTCGGACATGACCATCTCTTGAAGGGCTCGGACGGAGAATGCCTGCTCCAGTACAAACATACAGATGGACAAATCGGGTGGAACGCTCTGAAATAAACAGTACAAGGGATGAGATGGTCAATTAACAGAAAGGACTGAAAATTGGATGAAAGGTCTGACAAATAATTAAGCTTTCCTGATCATTTTCTCATCAGTTGTGCATTTTTTTTTCATTTGAAGCAACAACAAAAGTGCTCAAAATCTAAAGAAGGGTGCTTAACAACTAACCCGATGAATTTTCAGCTCAGTGAATGCTGTAGATTTCGAGAAAACAATTTTCTAGGATTTCTATTTAAATTCAAAAGTTGCAGAGTCATGTTTTGAATTGCGCCCGAAATCAGCATCCAAAAGACATTCTCATTCAGCGGATTGCAGAATATGCATTGCAGTTTGGATGAATGGGTATTTGGATCATGAGCATCCTGGCCAATCATTCCCCCGACGCTGGAGGCAATCCATTTGCCCTCCATCTTAACTTAATGGGTTCTCTCTTCCGTGAAGTGAAACGTGATGTTAATATACGTAATGCATTAGAGATGTCCAACGCAATCAACGCTATGTTAAATGTATACATGTACAGGTATGTACCGGTATCAACTGCTGCATTGCATTTTTCAATCCTCCACCCCCTCCTAAAACATCAACACTGTACTTACAAATGTATATATGTAGAATATTTTTTTCAATGATTTTAAAATTTCACTGACATGCAAGAAGTAAAGTTAATGCTCAGTTGGCAGAAAGAAAATTCTGTTGGGCAATTCCACGGTTACTCACGTTACATTTTTGATGTACTTTTGAGTTTCCTGGGGCTGTTATTACCTTACTGAAAAAGTTGAATAACTGTTATCCCCATGGTAGATAGAGTAGACCTAGACCTACCTAAGCACCAAAGATGACATCCAGAAAAATGTGTTATGTATGATAAACAAGACGCACAAAATTGGTTACTCACGTTACAAAAATGTAACGCGAGTTCCGTGGAATTGCCCTGTTACTTTTCATAGACCTACTGTCTGTGCAGTTTTGTGTCTTATTTCATCCTCTGCTTACCGTATTGCTAGCATCCTCAAGGAAACATCTCCTACTGCCGAAGCCCTCCCCGGCCAGCAGGACATGGGACGAGGCGCCATCTTTGCTCTTACTCTGACTGGAACACACAAGGCACAGTTGATCGCCCTGAAAACACAAAGTTTTTACAGAAAAGCCTGATAAATTACGCATAGTCAATTTTCTTGCATTCTTTTTCTGATATGGGGTGAGATTGGGTTGAAATTAACGCGCGAGCTTATACATTGTATAGGGCGTGCAGTGTTTGAAATACGCACGCAGTACGCTCTGAATAGCCGGTCAGCGTCGCCGTTTACGTATTCCACATGGCCAGGGGTTAGTGGAGGAACGCGCACGCGCCCATGGAGTCGAGGCTGGTACGCAACGGCAGTGACACATCGCGATCACCCACATGTGGTATAGAATTGGGGAAACAGTCCACTTTATTTCTCATTTAACAAAGTGGCGTGCACAGTGTAAAATAACAATTAACATGTTCCAAAGTTTGCTTATAAATAACTGTGAAATAAAATTGCCAATGAAAAGTTACGACAACATTGCACATTACAGACTTTGGCCCACGGCCTACAAGGCAAGTGTAGAATAATGGCGTCAGAAATTAATCTATCCAAATTATTGGTCTTGGATTTTAGGGGCTTTGGGGCAGTTTTGGTTCAAGTTGTGTTTTTGCCAATCTACCTATTTTTGTTTCATTCTTGTCCATAGTCCAGTTGTTCCACAAAATTATCGTGTTCTTAAGATAATAATACAACATTGGCAAATTTATATCAAAAACAAAACTACCAAATTATTACAACATACCGGGTCCCTGAATAATAGTAATAATAATAAGCATCCTGTGAAATCTTGGCACCTGGTGTGCTGCCATTTTCAAGAAAGGTGTCATTTTTGTATCAATTCCCAACAATGGTCAGTCGACCATCGTTGGAAAAAAATGACTTTTCCAATTGCTGCCAGCTAGTCTGGTTCCCGGACTTGACAATTCACTGTCTGTAAATTGCTCCGTTTTGACTGAGGTACATGTAGGGTCAGGGAAGTGTCAGAGTGCAAGAACAACATTTTTCTTACTTTTTCCAGCATCTACCGGTATGAACACAAAACTTTTCAAATACTAACCCCCAAATCCATCTATCCATACATTGTATATCCATCCACATGAAAATTCCAGCAAAAGTTTGTACATTACTTTTAAGCCCAGTGTTGCATAAATTGAAAGTGCAGAATTTGCCCTTCAGGAAACCAAGATACTATTCAAATTAACCATAGGGCAATTCCACGGTAACGGAAGGACGTTTTCACTCATTAAACAAAATTTCAAATGTGTGTATCACAGACATTGTTCATAGTTACAGCAAACAAATGTCACAATTGTATTGCTATAATGCTACCTTCAATTTCCACACTTTTGGGGGGCATGAATGCCTCCCGTTTAAGAATTATGAATATTAATGAGGTCGGTAACGGAAGGACGGTAAAACGGACAAGGGTTTTCCAACTTACTCGCGTTTTGCGTAAACTCTGTGAATTTTATGGGGCAATTATATTTTAAAGGTAAGAAATGGAATCCCTGAAGCTTTATCTATACTATACCGCCTTTCATTTGACTTTAAGTGTTTCGGTAATATAATTACAACGTTTTAAGCAGATTATGATTTGGTAACGGAAGGACGGTAACGGAAGGACAAAAGGTTTACTCAATTATAGCATGAACAAAATGTGAATTTACACTAATTATACAAGTGAAACAAATTGCTGAAATGTGTAACTGAATGTGAAATCAACAATATGCAGACCTGGCGTAAATAATTATACCCAAGAAACTATTGAGATAAAGATAGAAGCCTGCTAATTAATGATAACAAAAGAAAAACGAAAACCACCCAAAACACATAATTCACGAACACAAGACAACTACAGAAATGGACTACAAACCCATCACCTCAATCCTTAAAAGTTTAAATACACAGTTTTTGAGCACTTGAGTATATTGGTTACATGTTCACCAACAACTTTTAATAATAATACCGGTAGGTTCAGTGGTTTACCTAAAGGGTGGGGGGGGGGGCCACCAGCCTACATGTACATTTAAGGTAAAAACATCTACCGGTAGAACTGATGGCTTCAGTTAGGTGTTGCTTTTAATTGAACTCTAAAATCAATGTTTGAAATCAAATAACAATGATTTAGAGTAGTAACAATTAATTTATAAACATCCAAACTGAAATTGTTAACTTGGGCATAATTTGTCAAAGATTGCACCTCACATGTCTTACACATGTAAATTGAATGAAAGTGCCCCAAAGTACCGGCACTTTCTGCCATCTCATTTTTGACTTAATTTGCTTCTGGAATGGCTTCACAGAATTCGTATCTTTCTCTATTGTCCATGAATGCTGATGGCAGCAACTTTATGATTTGATTTTCTGCAACAACTCCATACATGTACAAGTACTGGTACATCGGCATATATGTACATGTACATGTACATTGTACATGTTGTACATGCCTGTGCCTTCCTTTGTAATAAACACCTTGCCCTGCTTATCCCGCTTTTGTGAAGGTGGGTCACATGAATGTCCTTTCAATGCTCATTATACATGCATGTATTTGCAGTGATTTTCATTTTTCAAACATGAGCGCAAATGTCGTAACATTTGATAAAAATACGATTTGTCCTTCCGTTACCGTCCTTCCGTTACCAATTTGGTAACGGAAGGACGTGATTTAATTAATTGTAATTAAAAAACGAGAAGTACAGCAGTGTCAGTTATAATGTCATATTGAAGGCCTACAGTACCTAAACTTGCTTTGCACAATAACTTTCAATGCATTCATACTGCAAGATTTAAAAATAAATTAAAAATATGTATTTTTTCGGTAACGGAAGGACATTTTTGAAGGCTGAAATATTAGAAGTCACTGAAGCGAAGCAAATTACGCAAAATGTTAAAAACAAGTTTTAGTCGGTTTTTCAAGACCAATACTTTCTCATGACAGAAACTGATGGCATTAGTACATATTTTTGTGTGTGTATTGGTAGAATACTTTCATATCACTATTAATCACATTTTTAGGATTAAAACAGGATTATTACATAATCCTAGTTTTTGGTACCGAAATGTATAAAAAATAAAATTCCGACTTCAAATCTTGAAAATATAGACTTTTAGCTTTCATTTGATGCCAAATTTGTTCAAGTCACATGTATTTGAATTTTTTGGTGTCATGTCCACTTTGGTGTGGAATTGCCCCATATAAACAATACAATTTTATGGTCATGAATTCTGTGAATCTAGATAAATGTACGGTACCGGTACGTATGTACGGTAATACTAGCCAGCATGTTTTAACCCAATTAATTAAAAGAACCATAAAATACAGGTACCGGTAGATGTACATGTATGTGCCTTAGGCTACGGCGACTCAATGTCTCAATTGAATAGAATCAATTACATACATATTTGAATTCAGAAAATATTTTGTGAATTTTACTTTTTAGAGAAATCAAATTCCTGAAATATAGGCCTACAGGTACATGTACATTGTACTACTGATTCCCCTGATATTGGACTTTATGTTATGCTTGAAAACACATTTAAACGTTGTTAATGCATTAAAATGAAAAATGGCTCTCTTTAATGACCTCAAAGTACCAATTCACTGCGCTGTAGTTCATTGGTGATACCATGGAGGCTTACCTGTAGGCTTATCCTCTGCCCGTTTTTGACCTACATTTAGTACATGTAATTTGGAGTTGATTCTCAATGAGTTTTGACTCCTAAACAGAATCCAAATCAATTAGGCCTACAAAATTCGGAATTTGATTTCAGATGTTGGGAGTCCCCCAAGCCTACATGTACATGTAATACAGGTACTGTACATATATATATATGTTGAAACTTGTATAATATGTACCGTACATACATGTACAAATAAATACAGGGCAAGTCAAAAATAACGAAACCCAAATGTCGGGACCATTGTTTTAGTGAAGATCTGCATGTAGCACTTTCAAAATCTATGATAAAAAAAGCCCAATTCATAAGCTTTTATGTAGTACAAAAGTCATTCAAATCACTCATGTACTTTTCAAGTTACAGAATTTTCAATATAACCACCGTTTTAAAGTTCTGTCCACGAATCACAAGAAGGTACATTTGTAAGTGTTCTATCAGCAAGACGACTACATCATAAAGGGATGTGTGTGAATTGTTTTCGTTTTGCTGAAAGAACGCACACCGTGTTTTGTGATCCGTGGACAGAACTTTAAAGCGGTGGTTGTGTTTAAAATTCCGTTACTTGAAAAGCACATGAGTGATTTGAACGATTCTTGTACTAAAAGAAAGCTTATGAATTGGGCTTTTATATGCTAGATTTTGAAAATGCTACATGCACAACTTCACTAAAACAATAGTCCCGACATTTGGGTTTCGTTTTTTTTTACTCACCCTGTACTGTGGATGTGATTGTATAGAGTTGCGGATCAATGCTTGTGGGAAAGGATTTACTCTGGGGAAGAATTTACTCAGGAAAAATATCCAGACAAATTAATTGTACATGTTTTAGTATGCACATATTTTGTTTAACTATGCATGCTTGAAGCACCGAATAAATTGACAATAAAAACATCTGATGTTTTACAATTCAAAACACCTCTCGTTCTCGGTAACGGTTGAATATGACTTTCAGAACCAGACACAGCTAGATGTCAATAAAAAACAAATGTACCGGTAGTTCCTTAAACACATGTTAAAGGGAATATACATCATTTGCTTTTGCTGTAATTTTCAGAAAAGGATGGAATTGGGGGGTTGGAAATATATAGCAAATATAGTTACACTGACTTTTTTGAGGTTTTGGGTTCGAAAATGCTATAAAGACCAAGAAAAACAATCATTTTCCTGTAGTCTGGTTCCCTGACTCCATATAAGAAGAAACAGAGCAGTTTACATACATTGGGGAATTGTAAGGTCAGGGAAATGCAGTCTAGCTGGCTTGTACCCGTTCATAGGTGTGTAATCGATTGCAAACAAGTGCGATGGTCAATTGGGGCCAGTATTTGAAAAAAAGCCAGTTTTTTCCAACGCTGGTCGGCTGACCAGCGTTGG